ACGAATTGGCTTTCGAGCGCGAGTTTGTTAAATGAGTGAGCAACATCCTGCATAAATCCTGTTGAAGCAAAATTTTATCGTACTAAGACTTTTTAAATATAAAACGTTAATGTTGCACGTAATTTAGAGTAATTTCAAAGATACAAATAAAATAGTATGCAGTTTAAGGATTATCATTTTAAATTAAAAATTAATTATAGTATATCTGAAAAACAAGAAAAATATAAAAAGACACGCATAGTATACAGACACACATAAATATAAAAAATTTTTTTATTTTTGGAATTATTACTTTTACGAATTATTACTTTTTTTCAAAGTACGTTCTTCATATGACATTATTTTAATAATAATAATATCATATTTTTTAAATTAATGTTTTTGTATATTAAATCCTAATTATACAACAATATATTAATTAAATTTATAAACAATAATTTAAAAGTATTGTGTATTTCCCAAGTAGCAAACTAAATTCATATGTCATTTTGATGTCCAACAACAATAATGTTTGCATATTATCTGAATTAATTCTTGAATATGATATTTCTACTCCTTTCTTTTATCTATCTTTAGTTTTACATATTAAATATTTTATATTTAATACAAAATTAAAGCTCATTATTAATTAAAGCAAAGGTTAAAAAAATTTTTGTTTTGAAAAGTCAAATTTAGCAGCAAGTCTTTTATGATACTTATATAAATTTTTGCCTTTATATGTATATAGAAATTCCTACATAATCCTGTATTTAATTGTGCATACACTAATCATACTGTAAATAAATGTGATTTTGGTTGAATTTACCTCTCAAACCAAGGTCTTTGAGAATCGACAAGATATTTTAAGCTGTTTATACTGGAATAACTACAATACAATTTTAAATACTTTAATATAGTCTTCAAGCGCGAATTCTCCGAAATTTTTGTCATCCATGCTTGCTTGATAAAAGTATTGTTTTTAGATTTAACTTTATCTTTTTCATCCTCATTTTTCAACATCATTTATTATCTGTTTTTAACACATATAACAGAAATTAGTTCCAGACTTAAATAATTATTTAAGATATAATGTACTATTCACATTATTGCATGTATGCAAGTTTTTAAATTGATCTTGAAATTAGATTATTCATAAGATTTAAAAAAATAATCATAATAAAAATCTAGTAAGAATTATTGAAAACCTTTTTTTCTATTCCGTACAAGATGATAGTTAAGCACTTTAAAAGGTTTTAAAGAAAAATTTTTCATATTAGATAAAGCCGAAAATTTGATATGACCTGTATATATTCCAACGGCTTAATTTTAAACATACAAAATGTCAAAATTGAACAAAAAATTTTTTCTAAATAAGTTTTTTTTCTATATATGTATTTCAAAAATAATTTGGATTATTTTGATGAAATTTTATATGTTTAATGTTTTAACAAAATATCTTGAGTAGTTTTTAAAATTTTAGAAAAAAATAAAATTTGTCTTTTAATTTTATATCTTTGAAACTATGCCGTTTTTTGGACATATGATAATATGAAGTTTCCATCTCTTGAATTAATCTGAGTAATCATACTTTAAATTCTTTTGAAGTACTTAATTATCAATCACTGTATAAATATAACGATGCATAAAAATATTGAATTAAAATATTGGTCTCGCAAATATTTGTAAAATTACAATTTTTAATTCAGATTCAAAAATACAATTTATGATAAACCATACTTTATATTACTCATATTTCTTGACCAACCATTCTATAATATATAGGGTGTTACCAAAATCCGGACAAATCGAATAATTTCTTCAAATGTTTTTAATGAAAAGTTAAATATTAAAAAATCCTTTTACATTTACACTTGGAGGACCTAGTAGAACACAATTAATTGATATACTATTAGCTTGAATGACGATTGTCGGTCTGAAACATTCGCATGCACGATGTAATGTAGCACTGTCTATGTCAATGAATGCTGTCTCAATAGCGGTCCTTAACGGACATCACATTGAAATACTGAGACTTGTTTGTGATCCTTTCAATTATACTCCATACATAGAAGTCCAAGAGATTTAAATCTAGGCTGTTGGGAAGTCAGAATGAGAGCCGAGGCGAGCAACTCGGCTTGTCCTCAAAGAGGACATTTGTCGTATCTTCAATCGTATCTGTGTACGATTTGTATCGAAGGTCCTCCTCGGCAATTCGACGCATTGTTTGACTTACACCAAAAATCGATGCTAATTTTCGCAACGATTGTCTTGGGTCATCCAAAATTAGCACTTGAGTCCTTTCAACGACTGCGGGAATCCTCGCAATGCGTTTTTTCGAGTGACTCTTCCTCGCTGATATACTGGAACCTTGGACTTCTAAAACCGTATATTTTGCCACAACGTCATAAATATCTCGGGTATCCAAAGAATCGAATTATTTTCGTTGCTGAGCGCCCAGCACGAAGGCCTTCGATGTTCGTGGCTCTTCGATTATACTTAGTTTTATCGCGGCCATTAGAAAATATGACTGTTTACTAAAAGCATCATGCTTTCTTGAATATCAACAACAACCTCTGGCAGAGGCATAATATAGCAGAAAATTTAAATTGAAATTTGTCCAAATTTAGTGACGCATTCTGTATGTACTTACCTTTATCAATTGGCTTCTATTTTATAAATATGGACCAAGATGCAAGACCAAGAGATATATAAATAAAAATGAATTCAATTATAGATGCATTATGCAATTTTGCAGGCAGAGAATATTTATTCTTAGAATATTTCAAAGTCAAACAATTATTTATCAAACAATTATACAACGATCTAAATTTTGCAGAATTCTAACAGCAATCGTGAAAAAATAAAATATAATAAATTAATAGATTTATAACAATTATAATCTTTTGAGTGGTAGTATATACAATTCACTTGCTTTAATAATCGTAAAACCCGCGCAACCGATTATAAAAAAAATGAAAGAAAATTTTATAATCAAATGTACAACACAAAATGAAAACTCCCGAAATGCAATTATACTGTATTACGGACGGCGCAGATATAATAATATCCTGAGCACTTGTGCGACGTAAATGATATCGTAAATTGCGATTTACATTGAGCCTTGGGAACTGCGCATGCGATTCGTGCATCTTGATTCCCGTTATGATAAAAGGAAATAGCAAAATCAGATCGTGCATATGATATTGTTTTGTTATTATTATTTTTCTACTTTTTATGTTATTATTTTATATAATTATTATTTTGCTACTATACTGCGCCATCTCTTGTTATCGCATAATATAAAACTATAACATTCATCGTTTTCCCGATAATATGTATCATAATAATGTATCATAATTATAAGTGTGCAATACATAGGCATTAATGTATCGCATGATTTTTAAGATAAAAAAGAAGCTGAAAATTTTAAAATACTATATTTTATGTGTTAAAAGTTTTAACATTTTATTTTTTACAATTACATTAATAATTTTTTGCATTAATAGACATTATATATCAAACAAAGTTTAATTTCTTAAATGCGGAATGTCTGTATTAACAAATATCATAAATCATTTTTTGACAGCATTAATCAATAAAATAATAAAAAACAATGCGATATTATACTTAGAATTTTCTGCAGTATTCATATTAGCATATATGATACCATATATTATATTACAATAATTACATTGTTGATATATCACAGTTTAAAGCCTGAGCTTAAATTAATTATATTTAATAAACTTGTGACATTTACATGGATTTCTCGCGTTAAATTGATCTATTTCATTCGATGATCCAAAATTGGACCCAAACCTTCTTTGGAGAGGCTTCGAAATAATGTTTTGCATTGTTTCATTGTTTTTCATTGTTTGTTAGACTTAGATTGTCAACCTATGTCTAATCCAATCTGGGAAATCAATGCATATCTACTGATATATGGACAACATATCTCGATGATTTGCCATTTTGAGACATAGACTTTATAGTTTCATAACAATTATAATTTTTGAAGTAAACGCAAATGCAATATAATGTCTGTCTTTATTAATCATATAAAAATTAAAGAAAAAAATAAAGTCCTAGTTTTATTTCCAATCGCTGATAATACCTGTCACTTCGTCATTGATGTTAGAACTAGAATCGATTCTATTTATGGAAACATAATAAAAAGCACAGGCAATAGGAACAGGAAATGACAAATTTCAACCTATCAGAAATCATGTATACTAGAATAGATGCTTTCTAAAATTTCTTGTTCTCTGTTCCTATATTGTGTTTTTTAATCATATTTTTTATTATAATTATATACTATATATGCATAATATATTGTTATATTTATGTTATATTTATGTACTGAAAAATGGTGTAATTTTGATGCAATCGGTATAATATTAGTACATTAAAAAAAAAATGGCACTTATCCAAAATCAAAATGTACAGTGTCTTAAAATATCTTTAAGATGATTTTAATATATCTAGTTTATGTTGCGATTTAGATATACTTGTTATTATTATCAAAATTTCGTCAATCAATGATTTTAGATTAAAATTTTTAATTTTATGGTGCAAAACAAAAGAGGATCGCCGATTTTAATTGATGGAAAGTCTACAGATTGATTCCGTTTTTACCGGTGATCTTGGTTTAAATTTCAAATTAAAAGTATATTTTGTTAAGAAAATTTTTATGTTTTTAAAGTCTAATATATTAATTAAAATAAAATTATTTTAATCAGAAATTTTCTTGAATAATTTCATGATAACTCCGTCAGTTAATATCTAGCTTTTTAAATAGAGAATTTGCAGTATTTCGCTGAATGCCAAGATCGCGGCAACATGTCTATACGTAGGCAAATTAGTCGAATAAGTAGTTAAATTACTGCGTGTTGTATTCTTCCCGGAAATACATTTTGAAAGCACGAGATACTTATTCGGGAATGTCGTTTCTTTCACGCACCTAATTGAAGGTGCAACAGTACCCGTCCTGCGTTTTGCGAACTCAAAAAGCTCTGAACAATTTCTGTCGATTCCATGCAACATACATTTCAATAACGTCGTCGAACATTGTGGCGTCAACTGGAAAATGTAAATACACAATATGTATTGTAAATCTTCAATTTTTTATATAAGCAATAACAACGGTAGCTGACAGCTGCGAAGTAAATAATATTTTGATTGCTCTTTGGAGGAAATCTTTTATTTAAAGTGCAGAAAAGTAAACGTGTTTGTCTGCAAATAGTATTTATATATTAAAAATCACTAGAAGATGGAAAATTAGGAAGATAAATTTAGACAGAGAGTACTCGCGAGAAAGATAGGCCTAGATGGGATCACGCTTTTCGAAGAAATTTGCATTTAAAATTAGACAGATTTGAATTTAATTTCTATTATTATACTAAACAATAAAATTTATACAATTTATACAATTGTCATTATCAGTTATCTAATTATTATGCAATTAAAAGAAGTTTACACGTATATTTGTATATTTATAAGAAAAGTCTAATAAAAGTGTTTTTGTAAGTATAACTTTAGTATATCACATATTTGAAATAAGATGTTGATTGAGTTTACATACGTACAGTTTTCATTATTTGAGCGATATCATAAGACCCGTTGTAATAAGTTGTTAAAAGTTTATCTAATTCCACATCATTGCTATTATCTATGACCATCATAGAAACATACAGATTACCCAGCTGCATTATCAAATTGAGAATTTCATCGACTGATCGGTTCGTGACTTTTGCATTAGAACTAATTTTTTTTAAAAATATTGTATTTCAATTAAAGTCACATATGATACATATGTGTTTCAAGGACATTTTTAATATATAGTAGCGAAGACAAAAAATGCATGACTTTCTTTGACTAATTGATGTCCACATTATTCAATAACATAACATATTTCATATGTTATTCATATATTTTTATAATACGTTAAAGTATATTATTATATTATACTATGGAAAATATTTTAAAACAATGTTTATAATATAAAGTTGGACAAACTGGTGTCTGTAATGAGAAAAGTAATACTTTCAAAGTTGGTAAGTTTTCACTCGATGGACAAATGGACAAATTGACGGTACGTCACATAGAATACAATGCTGTCAAAACTAGCAACAGATCTACTAACAAATATTAATAACGTATTTTTTCATATTATAGTTACTTTCTTATTAATTAATTTTTTGTAATCGTAAATAAAAAGAATGTATTAAAGTAAAATTATTAAAAGTTTCGGAAAAAAACAGTTCTTATAGTATAATTATTTTTTTTGTTGTCTTTCATAATTAAATCTTTTAATTTAGAATAAATTGTATTTTCTTTGAATTATATTTAAAAACAACATGAATATCTTTACTTGAAAATAAAACATGATGAAAAATTCAAATCGAGCATTTTTGTTTAATCTCTATTATACATGAACCTATGTCATATGATATTTATATCTATTATACTGTATAAGTGTGTAATTCGAATAACTTTGCATTATATAATTCCATTTATTTAATTATTAAAAAATAATGTTACACATTTTAATTTTCATATAATAATAACTTTAGTAGCATATCATATATATTTAAATGTGCGTTTGCTAGTAAAATATAAGAGGGACGCGAATTCTCATAAGGATATCCTTAATAGTAATATTTCATCGGTATCCATATAAACATAAATGCATGATATGTTTAATATATATGAATGTAATTCGCATTTATTTAGTATATAAATCCAACTCACATATTGATCGCCAGTTTTTTCGCAGATTGCAAACTAATCCTGTTAATGGAGCAGATGGCGATTCCTAAAAATTGTTGAGATATATATTTTTTATCAATGCGATAAAATAAAAAAAAAAGAGAAAATTACTAGGAAATCATATATTTAAAGCATAAAACCTGTTTATACTTATTAAATATTAATTGGTAAACCTTTCCATTTAAACAAACCTTTCCAGTCAGCCGCAGACGTGTACTGAAATATACGGGTACACATATAACGTATTCATATTTTATTTTGTGTAATTATTAATGAGAACTATAATAAGATATCCGTATGTTTAAGTACATTTATAATCACACGAATAAAATATGAATATCTGTCACGTGTAACCGTATATTGAAACATATCCAGGTAACAAGCTACATCATTTTGTCGTCATTTTGACATCAGCTTTCTATCAAGGTATGGATGCATGCATTTTAAACTGTATTTCGATATACAGTGTTAATTAGTTGTGTATCCGTATTATATATTAAAAATTTCACATATTAATTAAACGTGTACATTTATACACGTGTATCTCTAACATATGTACAAAACCATGATCTATAGTTCCTATACTTTATTCGTTACTACTTAACTTTTGAATCATATATAAATTGAACAGGAACAGTATTGATTTGTTATTCTTCCGTGTTTATCATGAGAAAGTATCATGAGAAGATATCATGAGAAAGACTTTTATTTAACGTATTGAAGATGGCTCGAAGCAGATCCGGAAAACATATTTAAAGATTTTAATTTAAGGTATAGATATTTTATAATAAAGAATTTCATTTCGCACTGATTATCGCGCAAAAAATTCTCATTAGTTCATTTTGTAATTTTATTATTGATAAATTATTTTCTTATATAATTTTTGTTTTTAAAGCAGGAAATTTGTATTTTTAAGTGAAGATTTAATGCGTAAAACGCATTGAACATATGCACGTACTGTACTAGATTGCGTACAATTCGTAAATTGCATACAATTAATTCATAAAAATTGTTTTGTTAACAACTTTTTAATAAATAACATTAAAATCAAGATCAAAAAGTCAAGATTACTCGAAAATCATTTGATGTTGTATAAAGGGAAAGGTTTATCAAAACAAAAATACCTGTTTAAAAAAAAAATTATATATATATATATATATATATACA